ATTGAAAATATTGTTGAACTTAGATAAGTAACTTTTAATAAACGTTAAAATAAAAAATTTTTAAGTAAATACTTGTTTCCGAAAAAATATAGCGTACTTCAATGCTGTGGTTTAACTTGATCTAAATAAATTATACCCAATACAGAAAATAACGCGTTCTCAAGCGATTTTTCTACATACTTATCAAGTTCCGTATCTAAGTGAGAACATGTGCCACTGCAATCACTTTTGAGTCACACGCTTGTTCTAGTTAGAACACCCCCCACCCCAACACCCACCACCCCCTCCCCCACCCCCCAACATGTATTTCAATGTTAAATTCTATATTTCATAAAAAATTCCGTTCCTTATTTTAAACTTGGAATAATATTTTTTTAATCTACGTATTCATAATATTTATACAGAGGTCTTTGGTGACCAACTCTCAGCAAATCAATATTCGATCAGTTCGGGTATTTCATATTTCATCACATCATATTGATGGCAAAGATATAAGGAGTACTTACTTTTCCTTGCCACAAAAACTACACTATGAGATATGCATAATCTAATTTGGACTAATGTACAACACATAAAACTTAATTTAACCTTCTATATTAAGTGGGCTTAATATTTTTTGTAAATTAAATTTAATGCTTCATTAAATTAGCGTATATTTAATGTAGAGTCTCTCTCCTAGCCTGTCACTCATCATTCATACTCGAATATTTATAATTACAGTCATGAAGATCTTTCTCCTTCCTTCTTCCTTCCTTCTTTCCTTTCATCCTTCTTTCATTTAATCCTTCTTTCATCCATCCTTCTTTCCTTTATCATTCTCTTCCTTCCTTCTTTTTTCATCTCTCCTTCCTTTTCTTCTTTCCTCCTTCCTTCCAGATACGACAGTAAAGCTTTGACTAATTCATCTAATGTTCATCGTGTACATTAAATTTTATGTGAGTTCATAACGATAACTTTCATGTATATTTCGTTAACGTAAGCAGAAAAATTTTTGAACCGTGTACGAGAAAAAATACCAATGGCTTAAAAAAGACTCACGCCCGCATCCGCCACTCCCGCCGATGTAAACGAGTGCACCAGAGCGTTTTTAGGCGTCCGAGAGGCTGCGTGCATCCGGGCCGCGAGCTAGGAAGCAGGTGCAAGCGCAGGGGCAACGAGGATAATTCAGGCCGGGAGCGCAGCGTGGGAGGAGGCCAGTGCGGGGCGGGATGGCGGGCGGGGCGGGGCGGCGGGGAGCGGCGGAGCGGGACGGCGGCGCGGGGCGGGACGGGGGCGGAGCGGCGGGCGGGCGGCGGAGCGGGACGGCGGGCGGGGCGCGGACGCGGGCGGGGCGGGCGAGGCGGGGCGGCAGGGGCGGAACGGCGGGCGTGGCGGCGGGAGGGGCGGGCGGCGGGAGCAAGCCAGGGGCGAGGCGTGGGGCAAGGAGGTTGGTGGCAGTGGATGGCTTGCGTGGGGGTGAGGGCGGAGGCAGGGTGAGTCAAGGGCGGGGCGGGGCGGGGCGGCGGGCGCGGGCGGGGGGCGGGCGGAGCGGGGCGGGGCGGGGAGGGGCGGGGCGTGGGGTGAGGCGTTGGCGAGGGCGAGGGTATGTGCATGGGGCGGGTGCTGCGCGAGTGCGGCGGGGGCGCGGGGGTCGGGGTGGGGTGCGTAGGGCGAGCGACGGGAGCGGGTGCAGGAGCGGGGAGCGGGGCGTGCCGTGGGCGGGGTCGCAGCGACGGAGGCACTGCCGCCCCTGTGCGGCTGTCGGCGCGGCGCCCGCACGTCCTGCGCGCCCCTGCCGCCAGCGCGCCGGCGCGCCGCGCCGCGCCGCGTCCCGAGTTCGGCACCTGCGCCAGGTGCGCAGTGGCGCGTACGTGATTGTCGGGCGGCGCGTGCTCTCCGGCAGCCAGTGGCGAGTACGGCCACCTCTCGAGGGGCCCACATCTAAATTACACCTCCATGTTTTACTTTTAATTCTAGGATACGTATTAATCAAATACGTTATCCTTCGTTACATTGGGCATTTCATGATTTCACGTCCTCTTTCTATTAGTTCCCTAAAATCTGAAGACAAAGAAATTCGTAAGTTACTACTGGATGTTGTGCTTTGTTTGTAGTATTTTTCTAAGTGTTTAGCCCTAAGGATTTCTACATTAACTTTGAAAGTTTTATCTCACCTTCATCAGAATTTGAGTAGCTAGTAATAAAAAACATTTAGATTAATTTAAATAAAATTAACCTAATAAAAATTAATATTCTGTTCTATTATTTTTTACTTAAATAGATAATATATCTTTTAGATTTGTGTATTTCAATAAAAGAATTTCGGTTTGTAGAAATAATTATTCAGTTTAATGTAGATAGAATTTTTCCAATAAAAATCACATATTACTCTAAATGTCTAGAAGTTTTCGAAGATCAAATTGTTTTTTGCGTTTATAAAAAACGAACAAATAATTAAATACTTTTGACAATATATTTCATATAAATGTTAGAAAGTAAATATCTGGAAGAAAATGCAATAAGGCAGTACAAATCGACGAAATAAGGAAAAAACTTGAATGGTCAGAGTGAGAATTGATTGAAACTGAAAATTTGGGACTGGTCAAACACTTGTGGAGAAGCTATATATCTTTTTTTACCGTTTATTGGAGTTCATAAGTAAGAATGATGAACCGATACCATTATACGTTATACAATCGATAATGAAAACAATATTTTAGTAACACTGTGACTCTTGTCTATAGCTTCTTGTATCGAGACAGTATTGCCAATTTATAATCAGAGAACGAACTGAGTGAACTAGAGATATACTAATGAAATTCTCACGCTATCACCACCGATAGTTTTGATTCAAGTAACTTTGAAAATTGATCAATTTTCTTTTAATTCCCCGTACTGTAAGATACGATATGCTAAATTTCTGGATTAGTGCAGGGAACTATATACTTCTCATGACAAACAACAAAGCTCTATCTCACATCCCTTCGAATAGAGAATATGAATACAATGTGTTGCTACTGGAAGGAACTCGGAAGGAACAATATTTTAAGATTCGTAAGTTGTGCATTTGCAGCGACTTCATAGTAATATGACGGTTTTTACAGCGGAGTTTAGGATCATTGCAAATATTAGGGCATTTTGGATGAAAAAAAGATTTTGATCACTAGAAGAGGTGAACACCCTACTGCACTTCATCTCCCGATCGTGGCAGCTGTTGTCTCTTAAATCAGCGTACAACTCCATTGGTGTCCACTGCGCATCGTCGGTGTTCTCTCAGCAAAAAAGGAAAAGTGATTGGAAATATGCAGTTAATGGTTTTTGGGAAAGAAAGCTCTTTCAATTATGTATGCACGTTTTGCAGCGTCAGTGTACCTCGGCACTCTATTTCCAAGCAATAAAAAACAAACTTTTGCATGAGAAATTAATGGGAATAGAACTGCAATGAATCATCTAACTTATTAACAAACGAGTATTATGGTATCGACACCAGAATTGAATCAGGGTGTAATTCAACCAACATTTACATTTTCGAATGTCAAATTTCTTTGTATATTTTTAAAACAATTCTCCCTCGCATGAACGAAATGAATCTGATTATTGTGACAGACAGAGGGGGGAAATACTTGGAAATTCACTTTAAAAACATAACGGTTAAATCTGAAAGGATAAAGGAAGTTTCGTAGTATTGTATTGAAATAATATTATTTTCCCCCTATTACTTCTGTATAATAATAATAATAATAATAATAATAATAATAATTATTATTATTATTATTATTATTATTATTATTATTATTACGCCCAGGAGGTATTTGTCCTCTGTATTGTTCTCCATTTCAAAGTGTACACTTGCGATGCTCATTTAAGGCAGTCGCTTTGTCGTTACGTCTCACAATGTGCCCATTTCTTCAACCTCAAATTCTAATCTCTGATTATGAGCATATAAATGAAGCAAACACTCCGTAAGTGATTAATACCGCATTGTTACAGTGACACCGAAATTTGTCTTAGCTGTCACAACGCTTGCTGGTTGTTCAGGAGAGCACGGGTCTCTTGTTTGTACAGCCACGCGCTTTGGCCTCGCTCCGTGTTCCACAGCTTCCGAATCGAACTTCTCATGTTCGCGCCGGCTCTCCCCTAACGGCTTCTGTCGCTCCAAAGCGTGCTACCTAACCTCTCCAACACGACGCAGGTTATCTTTAATTATCTCCTACGAACATACATTAACGTCTCTTTGTTTTTGGTCTCTTTTCTCGGGAAACTCTTTGGATTACATGTTTTAATTTTCTCTTCCAATTGCTAACGTGATGCAGTGAACTTCCTCCTGCGTCATTATCAGTTATACATCAATACGTTTTGATTTCAAAGTTCTTTATCGGTCGAATGAGCTACCTGGTTCAATTTTTCATTAATTAATACCGTCTTGTTTTGAAACCTCTCATTAATGGTGTGATTACACTTCTTTATTTTTCTAACATGTAACTTTAATTTCTCATTCGTCACCTGACTTTGTAGCCCAGTTCCTTTCTCATTAAAATTTTGTTTGTTTTTCGTTTAGAACATATCCGATAAATGCCAATCTCGATCAAAGTTCGAAGCGGAGACTAGAACAGTCTGAAGGTTTGTGAATGAAATTTGTTCAAAAGGACCAACAAAACTGTATAACCGACAACCTACTTGTACAGTGACGTCGGAACTTCACATGTAGTGCTTGGGTGGAACGTACGCTCAGAATTCGTTTTTTACGCTTCTTATTAATTTTCCACCGACAGGAACATGTACTAGACCTAACCAGAAGTCTCTCATGAAGTGCGAAGCTCCATTAAGAATGGAAACGCCCACAAAAACTGGACTAGGCCGGAGGTGAATGATAACGGTACAAAGACTGCATGATGCATATCTGCTCTCAGGAAAGACCCAATACATCGAAGCAACAATAAACCCAGAACGACATTTATTAAATCATTTTATCATTGGATTTAATCACAAGTTGAAAAATAAAGTTCGCCACATAATCCTACCTTTTATTCATGTAGAAGGTGAAGCTGATGCAGAAGACCCAGCGCTGGTTTAGCCACCGAATTCCAGATCTTGAACAAAAGCAAAGGAAATTCTGACTTAAATATACAGTAAGCGAATAAGCTTTCAGTATTTTAAAACACCATTCGGTTATTATTTGTATAATTTTTTGTTCTGAGCTTCACTGGAGAAAGAAGTTGAAGGGTCTGTCGAAACAAAAGTGTCGTACTACTTCACAACAAGAGTACAGGCAAAAACCTAAAACGATTCATCGGGAGAACAGGCCAATCTAGGGCTGAACCGAAGAGCATACGGAGTAGTCGATTATCATCGACATTTAGACACAACACAGAATGAAGTATCTCGGTAGCCGGAACGCGTAACCAGTCAAGGGAGGAGTCTCGATCCGATATCTCTGTACTACCAGCGAGCAGCTCCGCCCTCGGTTCTCGCGCTGATCCCGATCTCCCTCGCCGCCTACGCCTCGGGCCCTCTGGCACGCCTCCTCGCACGCCCCTCCCCGCGC